GAGTGCTCTAGTGTCCTCATTAGAATGAATTGGACGGCCTATTTTGGTGTCATCAGCAAAATTGCTTATATCGCTATTTATTCCCTCATCTATGTCGTTTATTAAATTGTGAACAACAACGGGCCCAACACTGACCCCTAAGGAACACCGCTTGTGACGTGCCCCCATTCTGATTTCTCCCCATTTATGCAAACTCTCTGCTGTCTATTTGTCAGCCATGCCTCTACCCAGGAAAAAATTTCTCCTATTCCGTGTGCCTTAAGTTTCCTCAATAGCCTCTGGTGTGGAACTCTATCGAAAGCCTTACTGAAGCCCATATACACAATATCATATTCATTACCATGATCTACCTCCTGAAACACCTTGGTGAAAAAAGTTAGTAAATTCGCAAGACAGGAACGCCCCTTAGTAAAACCGTGTTGAGATTCATTAATCAATCTGTGCCTGTCAAGATGGCTACGAATTGCTTCGGCAATTATTGATTCCATAAATTTTCCCACTATGGAGGTAAGGCTTATTGGTCTATAGTTCGAAGCCAAGGACCTATCACCTGCCTTGTAAATAGGTATTACATTTGCCATTTTCCACTTATCAGGCACTATGCCAGTTTGTAGTGATATGTTAAAAAGATTAGCCAAAGGTATGCTAAGTTCCTCTTTACATTCCTTTAACACCCTTACAAACAGTTCATCAGGGCCTGGGGATTTGTTAGGTTTTAGTTTCTCTATTTATCTGAGGACCATGTCACTAGCTACCGCAATCGTACATAGTTTATTATCGTCCTGTTCTACATAATCTATTATTTCAGGAATATCGCTAGTATTTTCCTGGGTGAAAACTTAGAGGAAGTAGGTATTTAGAATTTCACACATATCCTTATCACTGTCAGTGATCTGACCAGAGTTACTCTTAAGTGGGCCAATCTTGTCCCTAATCTTACTTCTGTATACCTGAAAGAACCCTTTTGGGTTAGTCTTTGAATCCCTTGTGACCTTAGCCTTATAATCCTTTTTTGCTTTTCTTATTCCTTTCTTTATTTCTCTCTTTAATTGAATATACTGATTTCTTAACTGCCCATCCCCTCTTTTGATACGTCTATATATGCCTCTCTTTTGACCAATGAGATGTTTTAATCTATTGTTCATCCATTTGGGATCATTTTTGTTAGATCTAATTTCCCTACTCGGAACAAAAGTTGTCTGGGCAGCTAGAACTATGCTCTGAAAAACGTCATATTGGCAACCAAGATCACCTACCTGACCCATAGTCAGGACATCCCAATTTAGCCCACCCAGGTAATTTTTTCAGTCCCATGAAGTCGGCCAAGCGAAAATCTGGAACAGAGATTTGACTGCAGTTATCTGGGTTATTCCATGATATATTGAAACTAAGTGATTTGTGATCACTTTCCCAAAGCTCATCATTAACCTTAAGATTATTAATTAGTGAATCTTTGTTGGCAATAACCAAGTGAAGCAGATTGTTTCCTCTAGTTGGTTCTGTCACAGCCTATTCTAAAAAGCAATCCTGAATCGTATCAAGAAAGTCACTAGACTCAAGATTTCCTGTCATATTGTTCCACTCAATTTGTCTAAAGTTAAAATCTTCCATTATCACAACATTTTCATATCTAGATGCCTTATGAATTTCGTCCCATAACAGCTTACTGCCCTCCCTATCAAGATTTGGGGGCCTATGAATCACACCCAAAATTAATTTGTCACGTCCCTCGAGAAACTGTAGCCAAACAGATTCTGTGTTCGATGTTTCTAATCTTATATCATGTCTAAGACAACAATTTAAATTTTCTCTGAGATACATCGCCACACCACCACCCTTCCTGTTGACCCTATCAGTGTGGAATAGTTTATAACCCTGTATGTTGCATTCAGGAGGCATTTCTCTATCTTTCAGGTTGAACCAGGTCTCTGTTATACCAATAATATCTATATTACCTACACTTGCAAGTAATCTTAGCTGATCTTAGATTTCCTCCAGTTTTGGTACACAAGACAAAGTGTTTTCACTCTTTCTTGAAAATATTTATCAAAAATATACCTCAAACGACAACTGAGAAAAGACTGAAAAAGACTGATTTGCTGAAGATGCCCTTGGGGGGCAATTTATTCCTATATGGGACGACGTAAGGTTGTTTGGACACTTGGTGCCGAGAGAGCAATGCTTATACGAATTTTACTCAACGCCTTTTCTCTAAATAACTTATCTTTATTTCACAAAAAAATAAAGTTTGTTAGTTTCTGGAATTTTGCAAAAAATCTGACCTTTACTCCCACATAACTCCGAAAGTATTTGGAATATTTCCAAAAATAGCTTGTAGAAAAATAGAGAAATCATTATTCTACAATTTCTGTGAATATTATTCCATTTAATTAAGTATTAAAGGCAGAAATAGGTACCTTAGGTGAATAAGTTACTTCCGAGATATTGGCCGGGAGCGCCGGCCGGCCCACCGTCTCAAAAAAAAAAAAAAAAAAAATCGCGAAAATCGAGTTTGTTTGGGTGTATTTCTTAGTAAACTGATGTTCTAGTGCAGTTATCCTTTTCAAAACACCGTTTTCTCTTACTCAGAGACGACAAGGAGAGCAGTAACTCATTTATATCGGAATATTATGGCCTATTTTTTTCAGTCTAGAGTATATAACATGTTTGCATGTTATTTAGAGTATTTATTATATCATATTAGATCAATTCTGATAGATAAATAAGCCGTAGAGTTGATATATAAGCTGATATAAGCGTAATAATGAAGTGATTTCTCCTGGCTCTATCTGGAGCGGGAGCACTGCCGAACGATCCCATATGATTAATGGTTGTCTGTAAGTCTAGGGATAAGCCCCGCCTTCTGTTTTATGATGCCAAATAGTCAGTTATTATATTAGAAAGAATAATGCAAGAAATAATTCAAGAAAAAGCGATAAAAAACAAGGAAAAATTTCCAAAATATATATGGGCTGTGAGCAGACTCGCTACCAATATCACCGTCACCATACCAGATATAAATGACTATAATTTCTTGTAGAAACGTCGTAGAACATTCATTCTGGTACCATTGTGTTGCCAAAGAGTTAAGCTATTTTTCGGTATATATAACTCAACTTTCATAATTTTTCGATTTTTGGTTGAGCGCGCGCGGAAATGCCCTCTACTATCTCTCTTTGTTTGTTGATCAATTGATTTGCCATTACCAGCAACTTTATTTTGAATATTGTCTTTTAAACATATCCCTGAGGTATCCTGGTAATAACTGCTGTTTTTAAACCCTAATGCTGCAGCCTGATTGTTTCCCACAAACACCCATACCTCTATAATCTATCAGTTTAAATTCCTAGACAAGTCATCAATTACCCTCTCAGTTGAATTGGCTAATGCAACCACTCCATCCCCAGAGAGATGAACCCCATCCCTTGCATACATATCACGTTTGCCAAAGAATAGGTCCCAGTTATCAATGAATGGGATTGCAAGTTCCTTCCAGTACCTGTCTAGCCAGCAATTTATAACAATTGCCCTAGACATCCATTCATTGCCCACTCCCTTTCTAGGCAAGATGCTACATATGATTGGGATCCCTCCCTTAGACCTAACTACTTCTATGGCTGACCTGTACTTATCCAGCAGCTCCTCTCTCCTGCCCTTCCCAATGTCGTAACGCCCAGCACTAAGACAGATAATGGGTTTGTTCCCATTACCTGCCATAATAATCCAACCTGCTATGTCACCAGCTCCTGGAAGACACACTCTCTGTCTGACCTTTCTGTCTCTGTTACAAAATGCACGGTCCATATATCTTACGTGAGAATCGCCTGCTATTAAAATATTCTCACCTTGATTAGCAGGGGAATCAGTGGTGCTTCCAACCTCACTAACCACTGAAGTACACTCGTCTTGGAGAACAGAGAATCGATTTCCTACCTTCACATCTTCTCTATTAACTCTCCTCATCTTCCTTCTTCCTGAACTGTGAACCACTTGCCACTGAAAGTGGCTGCCACTATCACTGATTATGACCATTGCTTCCTTACCAGCTAAATCCTTCTCACACTCGCTCCCAAACTCATCTATGCGAAGGTTCAGCCTCCTATTTTCCTCCTGAAGAAGTAGAATCTCCTTCTTCAACTCTTGAACCTGAAATTCTAAAACACTACAAGCCATAAAGCTATTTACAGCATTTAGTAACTTACTACCTATTCTATACACTTGCAACATCTGCCACCCTATCATTTGCCTCTTTTAAATCCATAAATGCAATGAAGATATGCCTACCTTTATCTAAATACTGTTCACACATTTGCTTCAGTGCAAACACTTAATCTACACATCCCCTACCCATTCTAAAGCCTCCTTCTTCATCTGCAATCCAACTCTCTGTCTTACCTCTAACTCTTTCAATAATAAATCTACCATACACTTTGCGGCGTTTCACTAATACGGACATTTCAAATTATGACCAAAACTCGTTATACAGCTCCCAGTCCCCACCTGACTCATACAAATACAAATACAAAATTTATTTCTTTGTATGGGTTACAATGTGTGATTACATTTCATAATTTGATTGGTACTAAGAAAGCCACTATCATGCTGGGGCATTTCGAGCAGACTTAACCTAATAATTAAGAATAAGAATAAAAGCTAACTTTTAAGATTAATAAGGCAAGATCATTTCAGAATTTTTGCATAAATGATCATTAGATGAGTTTACAGTGAATGCTAAGTTACTGAATATTCTGCTTGGCACACATACTTATCTAAGATCTGGCTGTGTAGAATAATTACATAACAAGCATTAAAGTAATTGATAATGTATTGGTATAAGTAATGCGTAAAAGAGATAATGGTCATCTCCTCTCCTCTTTAATAATTGAACGTTTGTACATTATCTGGTTATTTATAATTCTCTTTTTATTTTTATGTGTTAATCAAAGTTCCAAGTATATACTTGTCATTTAACATTTTAATACTATTACTAATTGTTTCAGAACTCAGGCTTGTACGTCTTCACTGACCTCACCGTCGAGACCAGACCTTGTGAAGAAAGAGGTATTATAAACTATTTGTATTTTACTCACCAATATTTTTTGTGTACATCCGTCCATACTCATCAGTTTAATTATCCTGCAATTTTTGCATTACATTTGTAATTTCTTCTGATGTAATTGGTCACATTCTCCAGTTTCGGGATAACAATTCACACATATTTCTTTGTTTGCTTCTGCGGACGACAAACAAAAATAGCACTGCAAGGATAGCTGATTCACATTACTGTAAAATCCAATTAAATTGCATCAAAATACTCATTGCTGTGCAAAATGGGAGTGTTTATCATCACATGGTTATTATTTTTTTGTCACGAATCTTACAAATTATTAAAAACAGAGCAGCCTCTAAATACAGCACTACCACATATTCACTCTAAAAAATTCTAGCGTTATAGGTGTTCGCTTCCATTCATTTCATTATATGAAGACCTGGTAATGTATAAGGTTCCTTGTTTATTATTTATTATTGTTTATTGTTCCTTGAAAGGATTAGAAGGAGAGGAGGACTGCAGATGAATAAGGAGGCCTTAGGACGGATACTGGATGTGTAAGCGAAATGTTTACGTTGAAGGATGTAAATAAACAGTATTTTGATAAGGGAAAGGAAGTTTTCGTTGCCTTTATTAGATTTGGAATAGGCATATGATAGAGTAACTAGGGGAGCAATATGGAATAGATCGTAAGTTACTGAAAGCAGTTAAGAGTTTTAATGAAGGTCGTGAAGCTCACGTAAGGGTACATAGAAGAGTGAAATTTTCCAGTAAAAGTTGGAATACACAGTGATGCGTGATGTCACCATTGTTGTTTAATATATTTATACTTGGTGTTGTAAGAGAAGTGAACGCTGGAGTGTTAGGTAGAGGTGTGGGATTGCCTCAGTTGCTTTTTTCTACGGCACTGCTTTAACGAAATTCTGAAGATGCAATGGTTGGTAGACGAATTTGGGAGGGTATGTAAAAGAGGAAAATTGAGAGTAAACATAGGAAAGAGCAATATGATAAGAGTAACAAAAAATTTAGGTAATGAAGAATTGGATATCAGATTGGAAAGAGGAAGTATACACGAAGTGAATTGTTCAGATATTTTTGGGAGTGAACTTGTCGGTAGATGAGTCTATGAAAGATGAGGTCAGTAACAGAACTGACATGTCGGTAGATGAGTCTATGAAAGATGAGGTCAATAATAGAACTGACATGTCGGTAGATGAGTCTATGAAAGAAGAGGTCAATAATAGAACTGACATGTCGGTAGATGAGTCTATGAAAGATGAGGTCAGTAATAGAACTGACATGTCAGTAGATGGGTCTATGAAAGATGAAGTCAATAATAGAACTGACATGTCGGTAGATGGGTATATGAAAGATGAGGTCAGTAATAGAACTGACATGTCGGTAGATGGGTATATGAAAGATGAGGTCAGTAATAGAACTGACATGTCGGTAGATGAGTCTATGAAAGATGAGGTCAATAATGGAACTGACATGTCGGTAGATGAGTCTATGAAAGATGAGGTCAATAATAGAACTGACATGTCGGTAGATGAGTCTATGAAAGATGAGGCCAATAATAGAACTGACATGTCGGTAGATGAGTCTATGAAAGATGAGGTCAATAATAGAACTGACATGTCGGTAGATGAGTCTATGAAAGATGAGGTCAATAACAGAACTGACATGTCGGTAGATGAGTCTATGAAAGATGAGGTCAATAATAGAACTGACATGTCGGTAGATGAGTCTATGAAAGATGAGGTCAGTAACAGAACTGACATGTCGGTAGATGAGTCTATGAAAATGAGGTCAATAATAGAACTGACATGTCGGTAGATGAGTCTATGAAAGATGAGGTCAATAATAGAACTGACATGTCGGTAGATGAGTCTATGAAAGATGAGGTCAATAATAGAACTGACATGTCGGTAGATGAGTCTATGAAAGATGAGGTCAATAATAGAACTGACATGTCGGTAGATGAGTCTGTGAAAGATGAGGTCAGTAACAGAACTGACATGTCGGTAGATGAGTCTATGAAAGATGAGGTCAATAATAGAACTGACATGTCGGTAGATGAGTCTATGAAAGATGAGGCCAATAATAGAACTGACATGTCGGTAGATGAGTCTATGAAAGATGAGGTCAATAATAGAACTGACAAGTCGGTAGATGAGTCTATGAAAGATGAGGCCAATAATAGAACTGACATGTCGGTAGATGAGTCTATGAAAGATGAGGCCAATAATAGAACTAACGTGTCGGAGACATGGAACTTTATCCACATAGAGGAAAGAAAAGAATGCATGAAAGTATAGGGGTGTCAATGCTCTTATATTGGTTTGATGCCTGGGATGTGAATGCTGAAGCGAGAAGGCTGGAGGCAATGATGTGTCTGAGGGCAATGTTTAATGCGAATATTATACAGGGAATTCATAGCATGGCGAATACAAGGTGCAATGGTACGAAAGGGGTTGAAGAGAGGGATATTGAGATGGTGTTTTACATATATAGAGGATGGACCCAATATAATGGCTTGGAGGGAGTATAAATCTGTGATGGAAAGAAAGTAGCGTAGGGGTCCCCCCTAGAAAATGTTGAAGTGTGGGTAAAGAAGGTTTTGTGGGTGGGGGCTTAGACATGTATGTTAGATTGAAGTGAGTGGAGCCAAGTCGTTTTTATGATTTAATGTGCTGTTGGAGTATGAGCAAGGTTATATTTATAATGAGATTCTGGGAAACCGGTTCACTGGCCTTGAGTGTGGACGTGTGGATATTTTATTTACAGTTTTGTACCATAGTATCGGCGCTCCTTAGGGAGAATAATTTTTTTTTTGTCTTCTTCATTTTTCGTCTGATTTTGCTTTATTTTTCTATGAACAAGTGTCCATGTCGTATGATCATTTAAAAGTTTCAATAAGATCGGCACTACCATCAGTTTGTATGGAACTCCCTACTGATAAAACAAAGCTAAGCCGATTTTATTATGAAAATGAATAATGTATTATATGGAAAATTTTATAGGGGCTTACTTTTATGTACCTCAACATTATCTGCATACAAGTAATCTCATTGGGAGACAACAGCCATATGGTTTACCGTAGTCACCCCGTGTAGACATGTGAGAAAACTTAACCACCCCTGGTCACGGCAGGTGGTCCCTTCGACCTCATAATCTTATCCATATCTATCCGAGACCAGTATAAATTGGATAGCACCCACAAGTACAGCGCTACTAATTAATTGTGTACTGTACAGATTATATTAGTTTAACTGAATGAAGGGGGGGGGGGTAGGTTACACATGGATTTATCCATCAAGGAAAAACACTTGTATATAATCCGACCACTTACCAGATATTCTCTGGTCACTTGATGTATCTGGATCACCCATAACCTATCCAATTACAACATACCTAACTGGCCAGTCTCAGTCTGCTATAACTAGAAGGGTTACTTAACTGTGGGTGATTGATGCTCCTTATTTCCTCCATTCACCATCTCATTTCGATGTCCTGCTACACCGACACGGTTCTTATTCCAGCAGGACGAGGTATTCGTTGGTTTGTCCCGGTTTTCAAGTCGTGACTCCATAAAAACTTCACTATCCACGGGACAGAACCACCAGGCCTAACGTGTTCACTCAAAGCAAGGCGACTTATTTCACTTCACGCATTCTCTTAACTTAGTGTTATTATCACTGATTACATTACAATTCACAAGACGATTTAATATATCATAATTATTATGCACATTAGAGGTCACTCCTTTAAGATCTGAGACCGATGAGTGATGATTAAATCATGGGTATTTTCCCCTGGACACACTCCATTGCGTCACACCAGTCACCACCGGTCCTACCATTATTCACAAATTTTACCACTTTATTACGGTGGTCCCGTAAATCCCGTTCCCTCACTCTTCACCAGGAACAGTTACAACACTTCCTATTATGAAGTGAGGCCTATATTAATCCTTAGACCGCCGGGAATGCCAATTTCCTGGTCCCATGCTTTCCCAGCCTCTTAACTCCATTCAAACACTCACGCTCCTCCCGTCTTGACCTCTCCCCTCCATCAGCGCAGGCGCAGAGCTTCCCTGTTGGTTCTAGTCCATTTTCAAATACATTTCCTGACCCACATCAGCACATTAAACACCTATTAGGCACTATAGCTTCGGAAATTAAATAATTTCCACATATTATACCTTATTTTCATCTCTTAAAATGGTGAATCCAAAATAAAAAAGTCGGTAAGTTTTTGAATTTTAGAAAAACATCTGCCATTTCCCCTCCCACAAATGAAAAAAAAAAGTGCCATTGTGCAAATATTTTCACCTGGGTAACCTAAGAAAGGCAGTGCATCATTGAGGGACTGTCTTATTTACATTATGGTTCAGTCAACTAACACCCATGTTCCTACTTGTTTGTTAGGTGAACAGGACAACAAATGTAAGGAAACACGTCAAATGTTTTCACCCTTGCTGGAGATCGAACCTTTGGCATTCACCATGTGAAACGAGAACATTGCCTACCAAGCCACTGGCCAACCTCAGGCCATGGACCTCAATAACTTAATTAATTCTGAGTTATCGAGGAAAACGTGCCAAGTATATTACTTGGGAGCAATTTTCTTTTTATGGGCTTATGGGGGCGGAAATCTCGCTATTATGAGTCTTGAGTTACGACAAGAATCTTCTTTTACGGTAACCCCTTTGATACACCCGTTTTCTCTAGTGTTAGTAGACCAGGGAGTGTATAACATTATAAAATTGAGCGTACACTGCCATACAAGGTTTTGTATGATTGTCTGAGACGGCTCCTACCTGGAGCGTATTCTGGGGATCAACGCCCCCGTGACCCGCTCCACTACCAGGCCTTCCGATGGATCATGGCCTGATCAACCAGGCTGTTACTGCTGGCCGCACGTAGTCCAACATATGAACCTCAGTCCAGCTGATCTGACATAGACTTTATGGATATATCCAGTTCCTTCTTGAAGGCACCCATGGGTC